AACCCTAGCTGGGTAAGACGTGTTCTCATATAACTGCTGAGTTACAACTCAAAACACCATATATATAAGTGTGGACTGAACCCCAGCTGGGTAAGACGTGTTCTCATATAACTGCTGAGTTACAACTCAAAACACCATATATATAAGTGTGGACTGAACCCTAGCTGGGTAAGACGTATACTCATATAACTGCTAAGTTACAACTCCAAACACCATATATATATAAGTGTGGACTGAACCCTAGCTGGGTAAGACGTATTCTCATATTACTGCTAAGTTACAACTCCAAACACCATATATATAAGTGTGGACTGAACCCTAGCTGGGTAAGACGTGTTCTCATATAACTGCTGAGTTACAACTCAAAACACCATATATATAAGTGTGGACTGAACCCCAGCTGGGTAAGACGTGTTCTCATATAACTGCAGTTGAAAAGGTAAATTGTACAGTGATGGACGCATCTATTACATTGAATTTTAGATATTATTTTTTATGAAGTTTCACTGTACGATTACGTTCGTAAACCCAAACCAGATAAAAACTAAATCAATACGAGATAAAGCTTAAAATCACGTGGTCTGCTGCAGAATTGCAAAGTCCACTCGTGTTCAACAGTGGAAACGTAGGTTTAACCACCGGTGATGACCGTCATAACTTGAATAATTATAAAGTTACCCTACTAATGAGCACTGGTTACAAAAAGCATCATCAAAGTGCAGTACTCTTATCTTTTAGTTCTTGCATCACAGACAAACCATGCCATTGGCATTGACTTATATCACCAAACTGGATAATTTACACTCGAGACTTCAGGAAATACAACTCTCCTGTTACGCATCCAGACATTTCAAGTTGATCGGTATAGAAGGACCGTCATATCTCGGTATGCTAGCCGAATGTAACATTGTTTCGAGTGTGTCACGCAGCTGCCCCAGTTGCGCCCCACAATGCAGTGCCACGTGGGGTTGTAGAGGGAATCGAAATCCTGTTTGATACTTTCGGCTATGAGTTTCTCTGTGGTGTAGACTTTGATGGCTTGTGTGGCTCTTGCCAAAGCTTTGCGCTGCATGTCAGCAGGCATGTCTGCTGCCTGGATCTTGATCTCGCTCATAATCTCTTCCTCTTCTGTAGATGCTGTTGCCGTGATGGTTGAAAAGCGCCCTCTACTCTGGCGACTTGTTTTAATATCTTGAGATTTCCCGCCAAATGGTTCACTCACATGACTGGAATTACTGCCGAAAGATGGAACAAATTAGAAAGGCAGAATAGAAACTTAAGACAATTCCTTGGCATAACTAATATGTAAAAAATTCCAAAAAGTTCAATCCAATAAGTAATTGTGAATTCACTGATTTGAAATGTCTTTGAAGTTATCGTTGATATAAATTAAAAGAGTATAAAACATCATACATGGCAGAGCAGTTGTTGTTTTAGTACAATTGGCTAATGTCCACCGTGAGGGATTGAACCCCGGATTGTAGCACTGTAACCCACAAACTTACACACGAACCACCAGGAAATGGTAACGTTTCACTTTTACCGGTTGTGATACATTTAAATAAACAGTGCCACTGAAGTTAAATATATCTATTCACAGACTTAACAATTCGTAGCCAGAAAACACGCACACACTACAGACACTGAAAACATTAATTTGTTTTTAATTCAGATTTTTTTTTTATTGTAACACAGAACGAATACACGAGGCATTTATTTAAAACATTCTGTTCTTCATATAATTAATGTTGCTTAGCATTCCCTTCACGCTTTTTTATGACAGTTGTCATCTTTTTCCTCAAAATTTTTTATTTCATGTTTCAGTGACAAATAAATATTTATTTTCTGTCCTGTTTCTATTCACGTATGTGTGGGAATAATACATGATAAAACACAGGATCAAAGTTAGAATGGAACAACACATGATAAAACACAGGATCAATGAAAGAATGGAACAATACATGACAAAACACAGGATCAAAGTTGGAATGGAATAATACATGATAAAACACAGATCAAAGTTAGAATGGAACAACACAAAACAAAAACACGGGATCAAAGAAAGAATGGAACAACACATGATAAAAACACAGGATCAAAGTTAGAATGGAACAACACATGATAAAACACACGATCAAAGTTAGAATGGAACAGTACATGGCAAAGGCAAACAAAGTATCAAATTAAGAGTGGAACAGCACATGGAAAACAAAGAAACAGAGTATCAAACTAAGAATGAAACAGCAACTGACAAAGACAAACACAGGGTCAAAGTAAGAATGAAACAGCAACTGACAAAGACAAACACAGGGTCAAAGTAAGAATGAAACAGCAACTGACAAAGGCAAACACAGGGTCAAAGTAAGAATGAAACAGCAACTGACAAAGACAAACACAGGGTCAAAG